AGTGTCATCTGCAAAGGAATATACAGTGCTATAGGTTGTGTTCTGGTCTATGTCCGATATGAGGATGAGAAAAAGTACTGGAGCAAGCACAGTACCCTGGGGGACTGAGCTCTTCACGGTTGATGGGCTGGATTTTATTTTGTTGACTATTACACATTGGGTTCTGTCAGTCAGGAAATTGTAGATCCATCTGCCTATTTTCCCGGTAATTCCTTTTGAACGCATTTTATGTGCAATAACACCATGGTCACGTTTATCAAAAGCTTTTGCGAAATCTGTGTAAATTACATCAGCGTTTTGTTTGTCTTCCATAGCATCTAATGCCATATCATAGTGGTCCAGCAACTGCGACAGGCAAGAGCGCCCTGTTCTGAAACCATGTTGTCCGGGGTTATGGAGATGCTGTGATTCCATGTATTTTGTGATCTTACTTCTTAGCACTCTCTCAAAAATTTTTATGATGTGCGATGTTAGTGCTATCGGTCTGTAATTTTTTGCCTCTGCCTTATTTCCTCCTTTATGGAGTGGTGCTATCTCTGCTGTTTTTAGTATGTCAGGGATAACGCCAGTATCTAGGCTTTGTCTCCACAGAATGTGAAGGGCCTGCGATAGTGGTTTTTTACAGTTCTTGATGAATATGGAGTTCCAAGAATCCGGGCCTGGTGCAGAGTGCATAGGCATACTGTTTATGGCTTCTTCAAAATCTAGTGGGGATAGGGCGACGTCTGATATGTGATTTGATGTTGGTATCATATCCATGAAAAATTCATTTGGGTTATCAATCTTTAGTGCATTTAATGGCTCACTGAAAACAGAGTCGTACTGCTTCCTCAGTAACTCGCTCATTTCTTTGTTGTCATCTGTGAAAGTTCCATCTCCCTTTCGCAGGGGCCCGATACTAGATGTGGTTTTTGATCTTGATTTTGCATAGGAGAAAAAATATTTCGGATTTCTCTCTATTTCACTGATCGCCTTTTGCTCTCTTTGTCTCTCCTGGGTTTTGTATGATTCTTGTAGCTTGAGTTCAATTGTTTCTATTTCTCTACCTAACCTTCTTCGCCGTTCTTGAGATAGGGTGCGACTCTCAAGTTGTTCCGCGATTCGTTTTCTTCGCCTATATAAGGAACGACGTTCCCGTTCCAATCTGCATCTCTTTCTCTTTTTTCTTAGGGGTATGCGGTTTGAACATATTTCTAGTGCTACTGAGCTTATTTTTTCCAGGCACTGGTTCAGGTTTGCATTTCCTAGCTGTTCTTCCCAGTTTATTTCTGTGAAGTCCTGGTTTATTTGCTCCCAGTTTATCCGTTTATTATTGAAGTTGAATTTGCTGAAATCTCCTCCACCGGGAATCTGGACTGGTTTTGAAGGTCTACTCCCCATGGTTGTCATAACTTCAATTAAGTTGTGATCTGAGTAACAGGTATTTGTAATCATTATGTTCCTGATCAACTCATCATTATTAGTGAAAATGAGGTCCAGCGTGTTCTCCTTCCTAGTTGGTTCTACTATTTGCTGGTTTAAGGCAAACCTATCGCACATCCGTAGCAGGTCATTTGCATGTGCCTGCTCATTTAGGCTACTTCCTGGTATTCTTTCTGATATAACTGTATTAGCCAGGTGCTTCCATTTCAGGTGCCGTAGGTTGAAGTCCCCAAGCAGGATGATGTTCGGAGCTGGATTTGTGAGGTTTTCCAAGCAGTGCTCTATTTTCATTAGTTGGTCTTTAAACTGCTGAGGGTTTGCCTCCGGTGACTTATATACAAGGACAACAACTACATTTAGGATCTCTATTTTGACTATCAGCACTTCCACCATATCATTTGAGGTGTTTAGCAGCTCAGTACAGATGAGTGTGTCTTTGATGTAGAGGCTGACCCCACCCTGAAGCCGGTGTTTCCTATCACATCTGAAGAGATTGTATTCTGGGATCCATATTTCACCATCAAGGTAGTCCTTTGTGTGAGTTTCCGTTAGGGCTGCAAACACTGCATTTGCCTCATGAAGGAGACCATCTATAAAATGAACTTTGTTGGATTTGCGTGTTTTTATACCCTGGATGTTGGCAAATATAAATGATGTTATCGTGTTAGTGGAAGTGCTGGATGCTTTAATTGGTGTTAATATCTGAGGCTCTGGTAAGGAGGCCACTGTGTTTGCGTCCTCTCTAGCATTTGACCGAGTTGGTGGTAGAGTCTGGTCATTTTTAGCCATTTCTGGTCATTTTTAGCCATTTAGCCAGGCTAGTGATGCAGGCCAGGCTAGTGACGCAGGCCATGCTAGTGATGCAGGCCATGCTAGTGATGCAGGCCATGCTAGTGATGCAGGCCAGGCTAGTGATGCAGGCCATGCTAGTGACGCAGGCCATGCTAGTGACGCAGGCCATGCTAGTGACGCAGGCCAGGCTAGTGACGCAGGCCAGGCTAGTGATGCCGGCCAGGCTAGTGACGCAGGCCATGCTAGTGACGCAGGCCATGCTAGTGACGCAGGCCATGCTAGTGACGCAGGCCATGCTAGTGACGCAGGCCAGGCTAGTGACGCAGGCCATGCTAGTGATGCAGGCCATGCTAGTGACGCAGGCCATGCTAGTGACGCAGGCCATGCTAGTGACGCAGGCCATGCTAGTGATGCAGGCCAGGCTAGTGACGCAGGCCATGCTAGTGATGCAGGCCAAAGTATAGGCCGGCTACAGTTTTGTCACATAATGATATAATTTGCCATTATCAGAATAGTTACATCAGTCATTATCAATAATGATTTTGTTTAGTGAGGTTCAATTTTGTGAAATAACATTTGCCAGATCTGTCTTTGCAGGTAATGTGGAATGATACTGACACGGTGGTGTAAGGCAATATAGGTATGTAATTATATAATATATATATATATATATATATATATATATATATATATATATATATATATATATATATATATATATATATATATATATATGTCGTACCTAGTAGCCAGAACTCACTTTTCAGCCTACAATGCAAGGCCCGATTTGCCTAATAAGCCAAGTTTTCATGAATTAATATATTTTCTCTAAGTTTTTTCTTATGAAATGATAAAGTTACCCATTTCATTATGTAAGAGGTCAATTTTTTTTTATTGGAGTTAAAATTAACGTGGATATATGACCGAACCTAACCAACCCTACCTAACCTAACCTAACCTATCTTTATAGGTTAGGTTTGGTTAGGTAGCCGAAAAAGTTAGGTTAGGTTAGGTAGGTTAGGTAGTCGAAAAGCAATTAATTCATGAAAACTTGGCTTATTAGGCAAATCGGGCCTTGCATAGTAGGCTCAGAAGTGAGTTCTGGCTACTAGGTACGACATATATATATATATATATATATATATATATATATATATATATATATATATATATATATATATATATATATATATATATATATATATATATATATACATACATACATACATATATACTTCAACTCTGACACAAGTAGAAGTGTGTATGGTGTGTGCGTGTGTTATACTTAATAGCCAGAACGCATTACTTGGCCTATGTAAGGCTCGATTTGCCTAATAAGCCAACTTTTCCCGATGTTACATTTTTTTATTTTTTTTAATGAAATGATAAAGCATTCGATCACATTATATATGAGTTAATTAATTTTAATTCAAATTAAAAACAACGTAAAAATATGACCCAACTTATCCTCCTAACCTAACCTATCTTAACCTAACATAACTCAGTCAGTAATTCATGTTCTTAATAATATAATAATATTTATTAAACTAAACTAATTGGAACAAATTGTTTGAAAATAACGAAAATCACTCTACCCTATTAGGCAAATCGGGCCTTGCATGTACTCACCTATTTGTGCCTGCGGGGGTTGAGCTCTGGCTCTTTTGTCCCGCCTCTCAACCGTCAATCAACTGGTGAACAGATTCTTGAGTCTATTGGGCTTTATCAAATCTACATTTGAAACTGTGTATGGAGTCAGCTTCCATCACATCACTTCCTAATACATTTCATTTTTTAACTACTCTGACACTGAAAACAAATATTTATAATGTCTCTGTGGTTCATTTGAGTATTAAGTTTCCACATGTGTCTCCTTGTTCGTGTTCCACCCGTGTTAAAGAGTTTGTCTGAGTTCACCCTGCCAATTCCCCTGAGAATTTTGTTGGTAGATATCATGTCTTTCCTTAATCTTCTGTCTTCCAGGGTCGTTATGTGTGTGTGTGTGTGTGTGTGTGTGTGTGTGTGTGTGTGTGTGTGAGTGTGTGTGTGTGTGTGTGTGTGTGTGTGTGTGTGTGTGTGTGTGTGTGTGTGTGTGTGTATATGTTTGTTTATCGAAACCTGGTATTTGTCACAGTTAGTCCTCGCTGAATGTTGCATATACGTTTTCTACTATAATTTTATTTTCGTTTTCTGTAATGCCTAAGGCAGGGTATACTACCCGTAGAAAAGAGACTGAGTATATATATATATATATTATATATATATATATATATATATATATATATATATATATATATATATATATATATATATATATATATATATATATATATATATATATATATATATATATATATATATATATATATTATATATATATGAAATAATGTTTTTAATGTAATTATGGTTTAAAAATGTCTGGCTCAGTGAACACAGATACCTTGAACATATCCAATACCGGAGACACAGATAAGTTCATATGACAGAGGGGACGAGAAAGATGCGACTGAACTGCTCATTTATCGGATGACTTAAAACAAAATGACATAAGATTATGCTACTAGAACTCTAATGGAAATAATTCATACATGTCGCAGTGCCCTGTCGCACGAGACGGGAGCAAGCATGGCCGGGCGAGTCATACAGTTTTATGTAACAAATATTGGTTTAAAAAATCATAAGAGAGAGAGATAGCAACATTTTGTGTGTATAATGACATATGGCATCATTATGAGGGACAGTAGAGAGGTGTGAACAAGAGACAGGTAAAAGGGGTACTCACTCACCTTCCGTCCGCCGCAGCAGAGCATATTTGAGCGGGCCGCGACCACCAACTGATCCCTCACCGCCCCGCTGTCCACCAGGACCATCGGCCTGCATGCCCTCACCTGTGGCGTAACAGAGACAATACCCAGGTTTAGTATCACGCGGGGCACAACACATACAATACTCAGGTTTAATATCACGCAGGGCACAACACATACAATACCCAGGTTTAGTATCACGCAGGGCACAACACATACAATACCCAGGTTTAGTATCACGCGGGGCACAACACATACAATACCCAGGTTTAGTATCACGCGGGGCACAACACATACAATACCCAGGTTTAGTATCACGCGGGGCACAACACATACAATACCCAGGTTTAGTATCACGCGGGGCACAACACATACAATACCCAAGTTTAGTATCACGCAGGGCACAACACATACAATACCCAGGTTTAGTATCACGCGGGCACAACACATACAATACCCAAGTTTAGTATCACGCAGGGCACAACACATACAATACCCAGGTTTAGTATCACGCGGGGCACAACACATACAATACCCAAGTTTAGTATCACGCAGGGCACAACACATACAATACCCAGGTTTAGTATCACGTGGGGCACAACACATACAATACCCAAGTTTAGTATCACGCAGGGCACAACACATACAATACCCAGGTTTAATATCACGCGGGGCACAACACATACAATACCCAGGTTTAGTATCACGTGGGGCACAACACATACAATACCCAAGTTTAGTATCACGCAAGGCACAACACATACAATACCCAGGTTTAATATCACGCGGGGCACAACACATACAATACCCAGGTTTAATATCACGCGGGGCACAACACATACAATACCCAGGTTTAATATCACGCGGGGCACAACACATACAATACCCAGGTTTAATATCACGCGGGGCACAACAGACAATACCCAGGATTAGTATCATACGAAGCACAACAGTCATAGGGAAGGGGACGCCTGGTGGGGTGACAGGCTGGGACACACGTTACTTTACTGACTGGGAAACAGGTTATTGTGTTAATGTCGGGGTACAGGTCATATGGGAGCACTCAGTACTCAGTAAGTAAGTACTCAGTAAGTACTCAGACCCACGATTTACAGGTTAAGGCATTTAAAATCAGATACTTATAAGAGCAAAGAGTGGAGCCCAAAAGGTTACACAACATGGCATGATAATCAGAATAATTATAATACAAATAATTATGGTGTTAACAATAATAATATGTAATTATGAGAGGTTTCTCAAACACACAAGAGTGATGGGGAATCGTTCCCATGCGTCAACATGTCTCTGAACAAACGCTGCCGACTTACTCTTAAATTACTGCATGAGTTACATTCAGTATTCACGGGGTGTAAAGTGATACAGGAACTGCGAGGACTACCTGGAGAATACCGAATTGAGTGCAGGGAAGCCTATGAGAAAAGTGAGTGCAAATAAATATTTAGTACAGAGCAGGGAGTACAGTGATTACACGGAGCTCAATGAGCTCGTATGTTGTGTTGGGAGACGTCAATCATGCCAGTGAGTGAGTGAGAGGTTGCCACACCCACTCCTGGCGATAATGATACCGTACACGGCGCCATCAATCATTCTCTCAAACGGTTCAACAACAGTGTGTAATGCGGGTTAGGTTAAACTCTTAGAGAAAGAGCCTGTACAATGTCACTACACCGGGGCTCATTCTTACACTCTACGAGACGCACACTCTCCACACACTGGGTGTATCCAGCGGTGCTCAGGTCTCCCCTACACACACACACTATCACAATCGTTCCTTTCACACACACACATACTCCTGCAGCTCTCGTCTCTGCTCACACACCCTGCCTGCCTCCACCCATCGCTGTAACTCTCTTCAATACGCCCTCTCCATCTCCACCCTCCCTGCACACATGCGTTCACACACACATGTACTCACCTAGTAAGGTGAGTACATGTGTACTCACCACATCACCACATGTGGTGATGTGGTAGAGGCAGACTCCATACACAGTTTTAGGTATAGATATGATAGAGCCCAATAGACTTTATATATATATATATATATATATATATATATATATATATATATATATATATATATATATATATAGTTAAAATAATTACACAAAAAAACAAGTGACTCCAGGTTCCATGTCCGTCCAAGGTTGGAGGTTAGACGCTTGCGGCTAGCCTCATTAAACTATGAAGAATTAAAGGGGATTTTATGGGGGAGTTTCAAAGGGATGGGGGGTCTGTATCGGCCCCCATGCCGTCCTTGAAGGGGGGGATTGTCCCCTTATACCCCTTTCACGAAGTCGGTGGATTTGAAACATGCATCCCAGAGTCCACAGAATTTAGCATTAGTTTAAATTTGAGTGAATTCAGACACTGACTTTCAAAACTTGTCTTCGGGTGACATGTTTATACTATGGGTGCACCTGCTTGGTTACTGTGATGGGGAGACAGAGAGGGTGGAGATGGACAGGGCTTGTGTATTCACCTAGTTGTATTCACCTAGTTGTATTCACCTAGTTGTATTCACCTAGTTGTATTCACCTAGTTGTATTCACCTAGTTGTGCTTGCGGGGGTTGAGCTCTGCTCTTTCAGCCCGCCTCTCAACCGTCAATCAACTGTTACTAACTACTAAATCCGCCCCCCCCCCCACACACACACAAGAAGCAGCCCGTAACAGCTGTCTAACTCCCAGGTACCTATTTTACTGCTAGGTAACAGAAGCATCAGGGTGAAGGAAACTGCCCATTTGTTTTTCCGCCGGCTGCCGGGAACGAACCCTAGTCCCTAGGTCCACGAGTCTAGAGCGCTGTCCACTCAGCCAGCCAGCTCCCTGTGTGTGTGTGTGTGTGTGTGTGTGTGCGCGCGCGTGTATCCGCGCGAGCATGCGCGCAGCTAATTTATCTGTCAGTGAAACTAGACAAAACAGACACTAGATGAAACCACTCCATCATTGATGACAGAGAAGCTACATACGATACACAGGTGAATCCATAGTATTGCTATGTGTGTCTGCGAGTGTGTGATGCTTTCCTGAGCAGGTGGTGATGGTGGGGCAGGCAGGCAGGCAGACAGACAGGCAGGTGGTGTCAGACAGATGGTGGGGCGGGCAGGCAGGCAGGTGGTGGGGTGTGTCGTGGCAGGGGGGAGAGTGGGAGACAGGTGGATGCGTACGGGTGAGAGCTACGCAGGTGTGGATCAATGGTGATAGTACGCCCATGGTGGGCTGCCAGGCGTCGCCGCCAAGCCTCCCGCCACCACACCAGCCGCCAACCTAACCGCAATACACTTACATATATAGGACGGGGGTTTGCGGATTTATATACGTTTCATATTACTATAGTTGTTGAGGGTAATGCATTAATGGTGGGGTCGGGGTGCTAGTTCGTGACATCACCGGGTGTAGTGGGGGCTAGTTCGTGGCATCACTGGGTGTAGTGGGGGTTAGTTCGTGGCATCACTGGGTGTAGTGGGTGCTAGTTCGTGGCATCACTGGGTGTAGTGGGGGCTAGTTCGTGGCATCACCGGGTGTAGTGGGTGCTAGTTCGTGGCATCACCGGGTGTAGTGGGGGCTAGTTCGTGGCATCACAGGGTGTAGTGGGGGCTAGTTCGTGGCATCACCGGGTGTAGTGGGGGCTAGTTCGTGACATCACCGGGTGTAGTGGGTGCTAGTTCGTGACATCACTGGGTGTAGTGGGTGCTAGTTCGTGGCATCACTGGGTGTAGTGGGGGCTAGTTCGTGGCATCACTGGGTGTAGTGGGGGCTAGTTCGTGACATCACCGGGTGTAGTGGGTGCTAGTTCGTGACATCACCGGGTGTAGTGGGTGCTAGTTCGTGACATCACCGGGTGTAGTGGGGGCTAGATCGTGACATCACCGGGTGTAGTGGGGGCTAGTTCGTGGCATCACTGGGTGTAGTGGGTGCTAGTTCGTGGCATCACTGGGTGTAGTGGGGGCTAGTTCGTGGCATCACCGGGTGTAGTGGGGGCTAGTTCGTGACATCACCGGGTGTAGTGGGGGCTAGTTCGTGACATCACTGGGTGTAGTGGGTGCTAGTACGTGACATCACTGGGTGTAGTGGGTGCAAGTACGTGACATCACCGGGTGTAGTGGGTGCTAGTTCGTGACATCACTGGGTGTAGTGGGTGCTAGTTCGTGACATCACTGGGTGTAGTGGGTGCTAGTACGTGACATCACTGGGTGTAGTGGGTGCTAGTACGTGACATCACCGGGTGTAGTGGGTGCTAGTTCGTGACATCACTGGGTGTAGTGGGTTCTAGGTCGTGACATCACCGGGTGTAGTGGGTGCTAGTTCGTGACATCACCGGGTGTAGTGGGTGCTAGTTCGTGACATCACTGGGTGTAGTGGGTGCTAGTTCGTGACATCACTGGGTGTAGTGGGGGCTAGTTCATGACATCACCGAGTGTAGTGGGGGCTAGTTCGTGACATCACCGGGTATAGAGAGTTCTAGGTCGTGACATCACCGGGTATAGAGGGTTCTAGGTCGTGACATCACCGGGTATAGAGGGTTCTAGGTCGTGACATCACCGGGTGTAGAGAGTGCTAGTTCGTGACAGACCTGCTGCCTGACACCCTACGTGCCTTCCTTACCACATCCCCAGCTTTCACTTATCGCTTCCTAATAAACTCTTTAATCAAGCTTGCTTTTTTATTTTTTACCAAGTATTCAACTCTGTTTTGAACCAATTAGTTTGTATCTTCGTTTCAAAAATCTCCTGTATCTGGTTCTGCTTCTTCTCCTAGTCTCCATCTCCCACTCTCTTGTCTTAGCTCTGTTTCCTTGTGTCCGCCTTTGGCTCTCTGTGTCGGCTTGTACGTCCATGGCTTCGTATCCCGGCAGGCAGGTGCCCGCGCAGGGCCTAGCCAGAGGCAGGTACTCTAGCATTCTCCACGTTAGCAAGAGTACTATGCCACAGTGTACCACTTACCTCTCTTTAACCCGTCTCATACTCTCTCGCCTCTCATCTGTTCCGTGTTCCCCCTTTCTCACACAAACACACACACCCTCCACCATGCCCCCTACAATCACCCTCCCACCACCACGCCCCC